AGAGACAGACAGACAGACAGAGAGACAGACAGACAGACAGACAGACAGACAGACAGACAGACAGACAGACAGACAGACAGACAGACAGACAGACACAGAGAGAAAGAGAGAGAGTGTGTGCTGGGAGGGCTGCTCCCGCCACATGCCCCAAGCAAAGCAAAGCAAAGAGAGTGTGCTGTCCTTTTTGCGCGATCACTGCTTCGTTGGTGTGTGCACGCAGAGTTCAATGGCTCCCGCACCTGTCGGGGGCGCTAACGTGCGAGGTGTAGGGGGAAACCCCTGCACCACAGCCCTGGCGAAAGAAAGAGTGACACACAGACACACAGACACACCCACACACAGAGACACAGAGGCACGGACATTTTTTCTCAAAGGATGTGTGACACACGGAATGGCATACAAGGCAGAGAGACGGACACGCAGACTCAAACACACGCGCATGTGTGTGCAAACACCAGAAGCGAGACAAACTATGCATTTTCGGAGCAAAACTCGTTGCTGCCTTAGTCTTTTCAAGGGACGTTTTTTTTTGCAAGCAGCAAGCTGCCAGTAAAATTTACAGACAACGGCTGAGAATGTAGCAGCGCCCAAGACCACGGTCATAGAGTCCAGAAGACGTCCAGGGCCTGTGGCACCACCCTCACGAATACTGCCTCGAACGGTTCCATTATTCCTGTTAAACCAAAGCTGCATTGGAGAGTTTACGGGTCCCTAGTCCGTATTTCATGGACAAGTTCGCCCTCAGTTCCAAGTTCGAACATGTGCTGATGAGCTGTGCATTCCAAGGCAGCCCAATAGTTGCAATTGGTCCATGTGCCCATGCTCTCAAAAACGCAAGACTGTTCATTGCGACGGGTCTGTCAGTATTCGGACGACCGCCCGACACACTTGCCAGCGACTGGAGTTGAAGCAGCTTACGTTTTGCAAAGGCCCCTGAGGATGAGAACACCGAGCGCGACAGGGCGGGGAAGGTGTTTTGGGACCAGAGCCTCGGAGTTGTTAGGTATTCGCCTTGATGCTAGGGTGCCGTGCTCTCATCCGTATACACTGACACAACCGGTTGTCACGATTGTCAATTGCTCGACCTCGGGTCTCAGCGATGTAGCTGCCTGAGAAAACGCCGCATGCGCAAAACGTTGGGCGGTCGAAGACATTGCAGCTTACTGAGCCAAGGAACTTTCGGGAGTGGACCAAAGGCAAGCCGCTGTGCCTTGTGCCGTCTGCCTCCCCGCCGCACTGTGGGGTCCGATGGGTTTGAACGGAATATTTCTGGCAGATGTGGTCCACGTGTCCCTCGATGCGACATTGGGACATTCTGGGACTGCCTATGCATCGGACAAAGTTCGGAATGTTTCCGGTGTCGACTGTCGTCGTCACTCATGGATATGTCTTATTGATCTGTAAGCAGGTTGAATGGGTTTGCCTTCGTTGGCCCTCAGGCAAGCGCGAAGACTCGGCTTGTGATATGCCAAATCTCTTGAGATGGTTATGCTGACGAAGCAAGCATCCCCGTGAAGAAGTTAAGAATTTCTGCTGCCTGCTGAGGACCTTACATACCTGGAAGCTGCGATCTTCAACGACACCACGCTTCTTTCGACCCGGGATTTGATGGACTGCCCCCTAAACCCTAAACACCGGTCATGTGAAGTGTCGCGAAGTTGACGAGGCCTTGGGTTCCAGGCAGGGGAGTGGAGCAGATGTAGGCAGCCCGCAGTGCTGTCAAAGCATGGTTGCATGTGCCCGGGTCAACCCGCATAGCAGTTTGACTTCCGGCATAGCAAGGTCCATAAGTGCCTGTCCCAAATCTGCGACCAGACCTACAAACCAAGCTTGATGCTCTTTCGCTTGTGACCAGCACGTGCTGTGCGCGTGGTAGATGGATGATGCACGGGCAGCACGTGTCCTTGCATCAATGCAGAGTCAAGCAGAAGCCGATGAACAGAGTTCTTGTCAGGACTCAGAACCGGACTTGTTGCACTGACTTCGCGGTTCCCACTGCTTCCGCAGGATTACTCCCTGCTTTTGGCAGCGGTCCCCCCAGAGCCGGGGGCAACTGCGGGCCGCTTGATCTTGGGCCCCTGGTCGTGACACATCCTCGGTGCTCATAAACCTTTGATTGGTGGTCGGCTGCAGCTTTTGCAGGGCAGTGGAAGGGCTGCGCGTGACGGTTGGTGGTATCCTTTGCAAAGTTTGAGGCATGATCGACTATCTCCGTGCGTTCACCATTGACAAGAAGGCCTCTTGGCCGTTTGTGGTCCTGCTGCTTTGACCTAGGACAGACTTGTCTGAAAGCCGGTCTGCGGTCCGAAACATCGCCGACCCCGAACTGCTAAAAGCTCTCAGCAATCCATTTTGTTTTTCGAGATTTGGAGGTGGAAAGTGCCGTGAAGACTGCACTGGCGCCGACACCGTCGGAGCAGCCCACGATCATCGCTCCCAAGGAGTGGACATGTCCCCTAGGTAGAGAGTCATGCTGAAGACAGTGGGGAGAGAGCACAGGACTATGCCGCTCGCTTCATGCGTGCAATGAGCACCTACTTCGTGGCAGACTGCCCAGAGGAACCCTGATGCTCTCGGAGGACTGGGAGGGCTTTGGCCATCGCAACAACTGCAGATTTGGTCTGTCCTGGCCTAAAAGCAGAGAGACGTTTCCCCAATGCGGACGTTTTGCACTCGGGGTGTCGGGCTTGGGGCTGCCGAAGGAGTTCAAGAGAGTGCAGAGAGACGAAGTTCTTCTCGACGACGATGATCTTGTTCGAGCTTCCCGCGGCCCAGTTTGAGAGCTCTGCGTGCTCGGCTGAAGAAGCGGGAGAATTCCGGCCTCCTCCGACGCCTCGTGCTGAGATTTGGACAGCCTGACCACTGCTCGAGGGTGTGTCGTTCGTGGCGCGGCCCTCTTGCAGTGTCGATGTCGGAAGGCGACCTGGTGCAGAGATTTTCATAGTCTCACCTTCCGCATGCCAAAAACGGAGTCTGTACCGGGATTCGGGGGTGAGTCCCGACGACGACCTGCTGTACCTGCGCTCTGACAGATTCCCCCAAATCCAGTCGGGACGACGCCTTGTACTTCCTTAGTGCCTTTGTCGGCCGGTAGCCTTGACGCTTCGACAACTCATGCAGGCGAGTTCCGCCAGTTTCCGCCAAGACAGGTGCATGTTGTCCCCGCATGCAGCTGATTTCTTGATGTCTTCCCACCTAAAAGTGACTTGAACTGCGGTCCTGCGACAGGTACAATGAAAGGTCCAAAGTTAAAAGAGCACGACCTAGTGCCCTTCGTTTCCAAGCTCTCATAAAAATGCCAAGTGTAACTCAAAAAAATTGCTCAGCAGTAGCGCCGACACCTTAGAAACTTCCCTCGCCCTGGCCACGTAGCCATGTGGCCGGCCCCCCTGCTCCGAAGTTCCTCGCCGAGTGCACTTCTACAGCCGCTGCAGCCGGCGCTGCAGCAGAGGTGCGGAGCTCAATGACAGGCCTTTGCCTCATGAATGCTTTCAGAAAGTCGTGCTACACACTGACACGAGGGCGTGCAGCTCGACGTCGCCGCACTTCACGCATGCTGCGCCTGTCGCGGTGGCAGTGGCTTTGGCGGCCGGAACGGGAGGGAAAGGACCGAAACGACCAGAAACAGGCAATGCTTGGCTTGCCAGCTGTTAGGCCCACATTGCCTGATTACCTGCTGTCCAGTGCTCGCATTTGGTTCCATGGGCCGAGATTTGAACGATCGCTCATCGAGAACGTAGGCGAAGCCCTTCTGTCGACATCGCGGCGTAGCGCGGGCCGCCACTGCGCCTGTGGAGGCCTTGATGAAGCCCGAGCATGAAAACGTGCTGAAGCAAAGCTCGAGACAATTCTGCAAACAGAAAGGAAGTTAAGGGTTTCGGAGATCTTGCTACTCGACCCAAGCTTTTGCAGGAAGCTACCTGAGTGCGGTCCAGCTCCCGATGTGTTCCCCCAACTGACAGGCACGAGCTGTCCTTCTTCGTGGCGACGTGCTGCCAGAGCTGCATGCGGCCATTCGTGGGTGGTCCACTGAGTCGATGGTAGAGTCCGCTCAGAAGGGGGGGGGGTCGGAGTGATCTGGACTGCAGGTCGGTGGATGTGGCAGCGATCAGCCGGCTGCTCCAGCTTTGCGGGCAGCGCAAGTGGCTGGAGTCTTGACATTTGCGAGCGCTTGAGGCTTGAGGTGTTGGTTTTCCCAAGACAATCCAAGGGTCCAAGGCAAACTTTGACGGAAGAGCTGTAACTACGTACGACTACGATTGCAAGTCATGGAGATTTGCAGACTCCTCCCTGAGGCATTGAACCCCAAGAGCTGCTTGCCCAAAGAGCATCTGAGGACGAGGTCGTCGCGATTCAGGCGGCCGTGCAAGACCTCGAACCCTCGGAGCTTGAGCCACTGAGCTCCTGACAATGGATAACTGCACCGTTGGGGCTTCAACCAAAGCAGCTCGATGTGGCCAACACCTAGGCCCTAGCGCACATTGTCTTTTTATTCAGTAGCGTCGGTTCACAAGACTGTCCCAACAGCTCTGCCCGAGAATGCGAAAGTCCTGTGCTTAAACTGCTCGTAATGATGTGGCACATGTGCGTGAACACTTTGGAGCACTGCTTAAGGATACCGGCCCCGGTAGTCAGTGGATTCACCAACGCCGCTGCGAGGCGACACTGCTGGAGTTACGATCTTGTCGGGAATTGCGTCAAACACACTGCCGAAAGTAGCTGCCCTTTTGCCCGCGCAGTTTGCGCTCTTGAGGCGTTTGGTAGATGGAGTTCGGCTAGTGATGCAAGAGTCCAGTCTGTTTGGATAGGGTTGAGCCCGGCCAGTCGCAGAATCTCACGGGAGGCCTAGGTGTCGTGGCGCAATGTTGATTCGTTGATCTCCCTAAAGCGAGAAGGCGCATCTTGTCTGTGTTACAAACTATCTGCAGGTGCCTGTCAGGCTTGCGCTTGCAGCGGGATGCCCGGACAAGCAAATGCGCTGAGGCAGAGGGGCCGGATGACCAGATCTCCACACATACAATCATGTTTCGCAAGAAGCTGTAGCAGAACCTGACCCTGGTGGTCGCTGTGATTGTTGCAGTCTGAAGCCTACCAGTAGCTGCCGGGTTCCGTGGCGCCAGCATGCACCAGCCAGAGGTCCTGGACCGAGCGCGCTTGCTGTGGCAAGTGTGGGCTGAACACTGGCAAGAAGGCTGGAGCGAAAATCAGTCAGGGACAACTACGGTAGGCCTTCACCCTAAGGGCCCTAAGGCTTGAATCGACAACTCTGGGAGAGCCTCGTGCCGTTTGGGCCACACACCAGGCATTAACTGGAGCACGATCCCAATCTCATCGTCAGCGTTCACGTTGCAGGAGAAGCCTGTGTCGGCTTTGACACTGCCCTGGCTTCGGCTTTGCTCTTGTGTGCACTTTGGCGGATCAGTGATGCAAGGGGGCTACACTTGGAAACCTGTGTTACACATCGCAATGATACGTGTTTTTGTTGCTTTACTTTGAGCTTCTGTTTAGTCTACTCGCAGTCCCAGCCCTTGGGGCAAGGATGTCGTGCGGAGCCCGACTGCGCTGGTTTGGGCTGAGGAGATCTGGGAGCAGGTGCATCTCGTCCGATCCTGCGATGTATACACAGCTTAATACTTATTCTTGGTCTTGGTGATATGGTTGCAGGCTCCTCGACGGAAGCAGGTGACAGCTTGTTTGTAGAGTCACAACCCCGATGTGGACCCCGACCCTCGGGGAATCATGCAAGAATGCAAGAACAAGCGGAACGAAATTCCCCATCCCGGCTTCCTGACCAGGCGAAGGCTCAAGCGGCCCCTGGGTCTGAACGCTTCGGTTGGATGTGCAGGAGCTTTGGAACGTGTTGGTGCATCTCCATCTCCGGGCCATGATGACCTTGTGTCAGATGCCAAAGTGGTCCAGTGAGAGCCAAAGGGCCAAACCCATCCCAGGTGCCGAGGACGGTAGACTTGTACCTCGCCATGCTGAGCATACTCGAGTGGCATCGTAGATACGACGCTGTGGACGGCATGCTCCTTCAGGCCTGCAGCCCTGAGCATCTAGGGTCCGACTGTCTTTTTCTTTGCGCAGTCTTTCAGAGCTTCAAAGCAGAGCTCGAGGACATGGTCGAGGACGGGCTGACGCCGAACGAGGAGGTCCCTTCTTGAAAGGGCGTTTCGGTTTCTGTTTCATGTTTCAGTAGGGCTGAGGCAGTGTCTGCTCAGCAAAGCTACGTTCTTCCAGAGCAAACAAAGTCTGCGCATGTGCGTACGCATGCATGTATGTGTCTGCACAGCTGTATGTGTATCTATATACTTTAAACTAGATGATATGTAGTATGTTGTGGACAGTTTGTATCAGACACTATATATATATATTATATATATATATATATGTATATATCTATACTTGTGTATGTATAGCCAAAAACTTGATACATGGTGTACAGTACCAACCGTATAGTACATGAATATCACATGCTACATACCATACAGTATATGGTATATAATGTAAAGACAGAACACATCGCATACATACACATATATATATATATAGGTATGTAAACACACAATGAACTGTAAGTAACATACGATATAAATGACTCACAATGTATATTCTACGGCGCATCATATAGAACCTACTTTCTAGAGTGTACAATATTTACAACGCCGTGTACACTGTTAACGCATATGACACGCTACAGCAGTAAGTACTACCTACGCGTGTATATACTATGTATTTACCTTTACGAAAAGACATATTAATGTACACATATTCCACATATAAATATATGGTCCCCCCCCCCAAGATCTACACCCGCCTCTTCCGTATGACTGTACAGGTTGCTTCCCTACATTGGTACATGACATAAGCACACCGAAAGCACCGTAAATACCCATACAATCGTGCCTGTCGCCATGTGCATGCAAACCGCGCTG